GGTTTTGAGCTAACTTCGAGATTCTAGTACTACAACCTCAGTGACCCACCGTCATTAAAAATGCCCCTATTTAAGGGTTAGAGAAGCGAGACTTGTCCATTTAAGTTACTACCACCACCTCTCTACGAATTTGTTTCCAATTCTGAAGCTGTCAAAATTGAGGTTTAGTTTTCTAACTGGATCTGCCAAAATGTTAGTGCCCAATAAGCTTGGGTTGAATAATCGCATTTGTAAAATACAAAGCATGTTCCTTTTCCCAAAAGGCACTAGAGGTGTATTTCTTTGGTGCAGAGTGGACTGGCTCAGAGTATTCCTTATGACATATTTGGGGTGTGTCTTTGTTTAATAGCAAAATGTACACATCCCCTAAAACAAACACCTGAAGAGTGAAACCACTGTATCTTCCAACACCCTTCAAACCTCAATGAGGAAGAGTTGACTGTGACCTTCAGTAAATCATCGGCTTCTCAAGGGAACTTTTTTTTACTTTACAGAAAATAAGCCCTCATGGTAACAGAGAACTAAAAACTTTGCTTTACAGAAAAATTTCCATTAAAAATATAATTTTTGCAGAGCAGGAGACCCATCATGGTCTTTGAAGACCACAAAATGCTTTCTTTTCCTTCCCCAGAAACCATGTAAAGGACCTTTACCTCTCACACACCTGTGGGAGGCACAGGGAGGCTTTCGGATCCACTCCAATAATTGGACTGGCAACTTTCCTTAATTATTTAAGTAAAAACAATTAAATCACTTGAGAACACTTGCATGGAAGCAAAATGGAATCCATGAGATATCTTGCTAGCATGTTAAAGATTTATCAAAAGTTACCTTCGATCAGCCCCAGTTGAAGACTTGGCGACAATAGAGAACAGTTTACATTTTTCTGAATATGCACGTGTATACATACACATGACTAAGAAACTGGACTGAAACCCTCAGTGACATTTTATACCAGGACCCAGAAAACAGGCAACCTCTTCTTTCTAACATGGTGGATCCTCTATGTTCCCCCCCCAACCCCACCAACATCTAGTAATCCACGTTCTGAGATAAACAGGACCGCCAAAAAAAAGAATGACCAGACCTCCAGAACACCACTCAGAAGACCCTTAGGGGATTAAACACCTTAAAGGGAAATTTACATCTTAATGTGGAAAGAAAGGGACACTAACTCTCATCTTATAAAGCAGTTCTTCTCAATGGCCTTCAAGATTATCAACGGACTGTCAACGTAGGTCAGATTTCAATAGAGAGCACTAGCAGCCACTCTGGGGGAACAGTTCACACAGTTCTAAATCTCTCTGCCCAGCAAATTCTGCAGAGATGAAAGGCAGAGGACTATCAGAGAAGTGCCCCTACAGGAAGACCGCTTTCCCTTTGTATGTTATTTGGCTTTTGTAAACACTATCCCATGAGACCCTCGCCATGACTCTGAAAGGTAAGCAGGACAGGTATTATCTCCGTCTTACAGGTGACAAACCGGTGACTCTGAGGCTAGATGACTCACTTGCCCAAGGTCACAAGTCAGGCAGTTAACTGGTAGCCCAAACAGTAGATGAGCCTAGCCCTGTGACTCGGAGGCCAGTACGATTTCCAGGAAACTCCCCAGCTTCCCTGTGTTTCAGGATGACAGGCAGTGGCGTGTAATGGTTAGGAGCCCCGGTTCTAACACTGGAGACCTACGTCCCAACCCCAGCTCTACCACCTCTTAGCTATTTGACCTTGTGGAGGCTCCTTACCCATGTCCTATATCTCAGTCTCCTCGCCTGTAAAACGGGAATAAAAACGTCTACCTCTTAGAGTTACCGTGACAATTAAATGAGAAGATGGACACGAGGCACTCCAATTCATTCACTTGACAAATCTCTGTGCCAGGCACGCACAGTGCCAGAGATACAACAGGGAGCAAGAGGCACAGTCCTGCTCTCACGGAGCTCCTTAGTCAAACTAAATAGAAAAAGTAAAGGGATAAATAAAACTTATAAAGTGTGTTAAGTGCTGTTACGGTGAGTGACTGTGGAGAGATTAACATGAGGGAGGCCATTTTTAAGAGTGGCCTCTGAGGAGAAATTTAAGGTGAGCTCTAAGGGATCAGAATGAGCTATTCCATGTACAGAAAGGAAGGAAAGGCATTCCAATTACAGGGACCAGGGTGTGCAAGGGTCACAACCTGGGGAAGGGCAGGAACTGAGAGAAGACATGTGATGGCTATGTATCCTCACAGGCTTTGGGGAACAACCTTGACAGGCTGGCTGCCAAATATTTCCACATCTATTTTAAAAATAACAAAGATGAGGCTCCAGAGAGGTGACGTGTCTTACCCAAGGTCACAGCTACTCCCAGGAGGGGCTAAGACCCCAGTATTCTACCTCTAGATACAACTTCGCGCACACTGCGGAAGCTTCGTGCACACTGAACTCCCCCTCTTATTTCACTGACAACTGATTTCTGTGCCCAGGAAGAGTTCCAAAAGCACCTTAAAAACACAAGCAACAACATCATATCAACTTCTAGGCATCAACTCAACTGTGCGCCGAAATCCTTATGCTTCCACTCTTATGACACAAGAGCGAAAACTGCTTGGACCTTACTCAAAGGCTCCAAAATAGAAACAAGTTTCTCCTCTTGCAGCAACAAACAAGAGAGGAAAGGGATGTCCTGGAAGGAAGATCCTGTGGCCTGTTCCGGAAAGTGAGACAGAACTACCATTGCATAAAAGTGGAAATACGAAGGTTCATCTCAAACGAACTGCAAAGGAAAAACTACTTTATTTGAATAAAAGAATGAATCCCTAAAACTACGTGGCTTTCAATCAGGATGGTGCCCACCCTCCCCCCTCCACCTGTACCAAGAACATTTGGACACTTTGTGGAAGCATGTCGTAGGCAGCACTAGGTATACCCAGTGTCTTACAAAAGGACCGGATGGTCCTACAAAGAATTTCTTACCTGGGGACCTGGCTGGCTCAGCCCATAGAGCATGAGACTCTTGATCTTGGGGTCCTGTGTTTCAAACCCACGTTGGGCATAAAGATTACTTTAAACCACGTGTGTGTGCGTGCATAAATAATTTAAAAAAAGAATGTATTACCCAAAATATTAGGAGCAGCCTCACACACACTTTATTATCAGTCCCAAAGGGATTAATATGCCCCAACTCCTGGATTCTCATGGTTCAGTGGCTCCTCCTATGCTCACCACAGCTGGATGAAAAAAAATTAAAGTCAGGTTTTACAGCTGAAGAGTCTGAAATTTTGGAATCCAACTGTAAGTTCATAACTCCAACATGGAACCTGGTACCCGGTGGAATAAGGGAAAAAGAGTTTCTAGTAAGAGACAGATAAGAAATTTTAGCAAAATGCAAATCCTTTCCCAGACAAGGGTCTCTAAGATTACATTTGTTTTGCAAACATACAAAATTCTGTGATTTTAGAGAATCTTATAGTGTTTTTCAGCTTAAAGTCAGATACTAATGACGGTTCTTTCAAAAACTTAACCTCAGTCATCTCACAAATACAGCTAACTCTTTCTGGACCAAAATTTTGTTAGAAAAAAATTTTAACTTCAAGATGTCTAAAAATGATCAAATATCTTGAAGCACCCAAAGCAGTCACACCTTGCATCTCATTCAGAGCAGAGAACTGATGCAGGTGGAGGAAGCTAGAGGTCTGTTCAGGGATTAAAATACCATTTTAACAATTCAAAAGCCACTTTGCAGTGTTACTCTAAATTAGTCACTATTTCCCCCTCAAAAAATTATTTCACAAATTAAAGTTTATAAAAATTGAGACAAAAGCCAGATGCCAGACAATTACCAGAAATTCAAAAAGATCCAAAAAGTCTACCCTATTTCACAATAGTTGAACCAGTGATCCAATAGACCCTCCATAAAGCAATCTTTCTTCTTTCTACACAATACCTAGATTTTCTTAACTCTCTCAAAGAAGTCTGAATATGTTAACTTCTTCACTCCAACTTGCCAATTGGCAAATAGAGGTCCCACACCCCTTTTGACCAATTTTCTAGAAGCCGAACCTGGCTTCTCAGGTTAGCTGAGCAGATAGACCTGTTTTCCTCCAGTGCCTTCTCTGCCCTGCCAGTCAGGGGCCGGGAAACCCTCCTCCAGCTTTTTGCTGGCCTGTCACCAGAAGTTCACAAAATGAATTTGTCCATATTCTTTGAATCCTCCTCTTCCCCTGTAATGTACCAACAGCCAGGCAATCAAGTTCCCCCTCCCCATTACAAAAGATACAGATCGCCAGGAAGACCTAGCCCTTAGCATGGAGGGGAAGAAAAAAGATGGAGGGATGCGAGAGTCATGGAGCCAAACCTACTGCATGCAGCACCCGCCACCAGAGCCCAGGTCCTGCAAAGCCTCAGAGGGAGGCTCCCTGGCGAGGCCCTCCATTCAGCAGGCCACACCTGTCTATGCCAGCAGCCTTCCGGCTGCTCCATTTTTAACAATTCGAACAGATCTCCGGTAGGAGATTGGCAAAATTGGGCACCCCCTTTTCCCAGCAGAAGTGAGAGCCCTAATCCAAACAACACTTGTCCCCAATTTTCTTTCTTCTCACACTCTTTGTTCGAGAGATACTGCTTGGTCAAACGGGGTCTCTCTCTCTGTTATCGGCGAGGCAGGCACAATGCTGCAGTGACAGAAAGGAAGCATCGAGGCCGACTTGTTATAAGCCAGACAAGACCTCCTTTCTGAGGATGGTGATGCCAATAAATGGGACTTCAATAGGCAGGTTTCTCTCCGCTCATCCACAAGTGAACCAACGCCTTAAGTCCTAAAACGCCCGGCCCCGCAGCCTCGCAGGAAGCCTCTTTTCTGGAGGATAGATATCCCATTCATCCCCAGGAACCAAAGGGAAAGCAGACAGATGCAGGTCGCGCACTCCACATCCAAATCTTCGCAAGCGCGCGAAGGTCTGGGGCGCCCCGGCGCGCCCTCCCTTGCACTCCACCCTCCGAGGCCTCCACCGCCCGCGGACTCACCACTGTGCGAGCTGAACCACCTGGGTGCGATGTGCAGAGGTAGAGCATCCGCCAGCGAGGCTCGGGAGCCCAGGTACAGCATCCCGTCTCTATGGTGACCGCCGCCGGTCTCCTGGTAACCATTGCCATGGGCATAGGTGGAGTCGGACGCAGACCCTCCGCCGCCGGGCGCCCTCTCCGAGTCGCCTGTCCCCCGGGAGGCGGGGGTGTAGAGGCCAAAGGACACCCCCCCGGCCGTGCTGGGGTCCATGCCCATGCCCGCCACCGAGCTGACCGAGCGGCTGCGCAGCCCCATGGCCCCGCCGCCCGCCCGATAGTGCCCAAAGTGGGGCGCCCCTCCCGGCGGGGGCACGGCGCTGTCATCGGTGGAGACCCCCGGAAAGGGGCCCCGGGAGCGGGCCGCCGTGCTCTGCTTGCCCCCCATGCTCGCCCGGGCCCCGGTGGGGCGGGAAACTGGAGGCCGAGACCCTCCCCCACTTCTCAGCAGCGGGGGGAGGATTGGGCGAGCATAAAGGGGGAGGGAGTCAAAAAGGAGACCGGGAAGAAAATGAGGGGAAAAAAAGAAAAAAGAAAACCCGCGGCTCGGAAGAGGCAGGCGGGCGGGGATCCCAAACTAAGAATTTAAAACGATCCAATCCAAACGCATGTTTCCCCTCAAGGTCCAAAGAGGCGCAGTCCGGCGCGGTCTCGGCGCGCCACAGGCCGCCCCCGGGCTCCCGAAAGCCGGGGGAGCCGCAGGGAAGGAGGGAGGGAGGCGGCGGGCGGGCGCAGGGAGGCGCCGGAGGAGGCCGCCCGCCGGACAGGAGGAGGCGGAGGAGGGCTGGGGGCGCCGGGCGCGTCCCCCGCCTCAGGTCGCCGCGACCATGGACGCCGGCCCGGACCCCTCCAGGCCTCCGGCGGGCTGCGGCGCTGGACTGCCAGGCGGAGCTCGGGAAGCCGCGGTCGCGTCGCGTCGCGCTCTCGCTCCAGCCGCCGCCGGCCCTGCCAGCCGCTCCGCCCCGCTTGGTCCCGGGCTGCGCTCGCCGGCGCTCCTCGCCGCCGTGGAGACAATGGAGGGCGGCAGAGCGCAGGCGCGGCCCGCGCCCCCTCCCCTCCCCCCCGCCGGGTTAACCCCTTCGCGGCCCCTGCGGCGCCGGGCAGCTGACGACCCGGCGGTCCGCACCCACCCACCCACCCACCCTACCCGACAGGCCTGTGACCTGAGTGCCTCGAGCCACGGGGTTCAGGAACAGAAGCCAGGCTTTTCACAGCAAGCACTCTTTAAGTCCCCGAAAATGGCTAATTATCGAGGGGGAACCACCTATGGGAGGAGGGGCGGCGATGGTTCAAGGGGCTGGGAAGGCAACGCCAGGAAGAATGAAAATTACTCAAGACGCCTACCTGGCTCTGAGGGTCACTGGTCAAGCCTCCCTCTCAACACAAATTTGCCCCCACAGCACCCTCTGGTGGACGTGCTGTCCATTCTTTCCGGAGGTTTCCCATCCAGGAACCCCTAAGATTAGGAAGCTTAGCATTTGGGGGATTTTTAGCTCTTTGGGGGTACAGAGCACACTGGGGCACTTTTGACTCCGGATTTTGCTGAGAATAGATCAGAACTTCCTCAGTGGGGCTTATGCAATGGGTAGATTCCATAGCTAAAATGTGATCGTGAAAATCACCAGGTGTACGACAGAAAGTGAAAAGATACACAAATGGAACAAATAACATAGCTAGAACGGGTGATTTTAGAATGTTCCTAGTCCAAGGCAAGTCCTCTGTTTGCTTACCTTTTATTGCACCATAGTGGGACATAGTGTGTACTCAATAAATATATATCGATCAAGTCTGACATATTCACATCCATCCATCCATTCAACAACTATTTTTCAAATGCTGGGTGCTGGCTATGAGCATCACTCAGTCCCTTGCCTGACTTTCTTGCTCTAAATGTCCCCAGATACCTCCACATCAAGGAGCCAAAGCAGTGTAGAAAGATTTAAAAGAAAACCCTCCAAAAGAAGAGCTGGTCTGTCACAATTATTCACTGTCCCAGTGTGAGCAGCTTAGAAGGAAACAGGAGAAAGACTATTTACTTGCAAGCATGAAGTGCTTAGAGAGAGCAGAAAGCCCTGCAGAAGGAAATAGAGAATGCTGCTTGAGAAATGAACATAGGATAAAACAAGGTGTTCCAGTACCCAAGAAATTATCTGTAAGTGCCTAAATAGGGAATCTGTGCACACCTAAGACACAAATATCTTAGGAAAATAAGAAAGCTTAAGTTTGGGGGAGCTGTCTGGCTCAGTCGGTAGAGCATTGTGACTCTTGATCTCAGGGTTGTGAGTTAAAGCCTCATGATGGGTATAGAGATTATTTTAAAAAGTAAATATCTTTAAAAAATGAAAAGAAAGCTTACATTTAACCCAATTTTCTCCCTCAAGAGAGACTATGGTAACAGAGGAAGTACAGTACTGTGCAGAAAAAGATACTAGATCCCTTGGTAGATCTCTACTGGGGAGATAAACACACAATCAATAAAGATGGTAATTATCTAAGTAGCTTTTGATTTACCTATCCATTCAACACTTTCTGAGTGTATCAAACAAAATGTGAATGTCTGGTAAGTGTCAGGCACTGTCCTAGGTTCTGGGAAACAGTGATGAGCAAGACAGATGGAGTCCTTGTCCTCACAAAGCTTCAGAAGAACCACTTCACACTCACTAGGATGGCTGTAATCAAAGAGGACAAATGGAAGTGTTAGTGAGATGTGTAGAAACTGGAACCCTCGTACTTTGCTGCTGGGGATGGACAATGGTACAGTCTGGCAATTTCTCAAATAGATTAAACAGAGTTATCATATGACCCAGCAAGTCCACTCCTATGTATATTTCCAAAAGGAATGAAAACATGTATTCACAGAAAAGCTTGTACATGAATGTTAATAGTAGCATTATTCAAAATAGCTAAAAAGTGGAAACAACCCAATCGTCCATCGTCTGCTGAACGAATGAAGCAAATGTGGTATACCTATACAGTGGACTATTATTCAGCCACAAAAAGAAATGAAGTGCTGATGTGTGCTACACCACGGATGAACCTTGAAAACATTACACGAAAAAAAGAAGCTAATCACAAAAGACCACATATTGTGATTGCACTTATATGAAATTTCCAGAAAAAGCAAATCCACCAAGACAGAAAGGTTAAGGGTTGCCAGAGCCTAAGGGGAGGTGAGGATGGGGAATGACTATTAGCTGGTTTCCTTTTGGGGTGATGAAAGTGTTCTGTATTAAATAATGGCGATGGTTGCGCAATCTTGTCAATATACTAAATACCCCTGAATTATACATTTAAAAGGGTGATTTTATTGGTATGTACGTTATAGTGCATTACCGTACAAAATATTGAAATACTGAAGTGGCAGTGGCAATACAGGGTGACAGGCCAAGAACAGTGCCTGGCTTCTAGTTAGCACTCAAATATTTGTCAAATGAATGAGTGAAGGATGAAGGGCTGTAAGAGTGAACTAATACGGCGCTGATCAAAGGGGGTGGGCACTAACACAGGTTTCCTAGCCAAGGCCTAAAAGAGCTGGTGACGAGCCAGGGGAATGGATTGCAGGGGGAGAACTGTGTTTTGAGAAGCAAGAATATTCCACGCAAAGGCAACAGCATGTTACAAGTCCGAGAGATCATGGCATCTTCAAGGAACTGAAAGCTGCGGGAGGGCTGATATGAGAGCTTATGGGAACCAAAGATGAAGCTGCTCCCTCAAGCTGCAAACAAGAGGGTCCTAGGAGCCATGGTCGGGAGCAGTCTCATATCCTGAGGGGACACAGAGTTCTGGGAAGATTTGTCAACACCATTATCATTAAAAATAATAACAACCAGGGGCGCCTGGGTGGCTTAGTCGGTTAAGCATCCGACTTTCGCTTAGGTCATGATCTCACGGTTCGTGGGTTCGAGCCCCGCGTCAGGTTCTGTGCTGACTGCCAGCTCAGAGCCTGGAGCCTGTTTCGGAGTCTGTGACTCCCTCTCTCTCTGACCCTCCCCCGCTCACACTGTCTCTATCTCTCCTAGAAATAAATAAAACATTAAAAAAATTTTTTTAAATAATAATGACCGGGGCGCCTGTGTTGCTTTGTCGGTTGAGCTTCTGACTCTTGATCTGCTCAGGTCATGATCTCACAGTTCCTGGGAATGAAGCCTTGCATTGGGTTCTGTGCTGGGAGCACAGAGCCTGCTTGGGAATCTCTCTGGCCTCCCCCTACTCTCTCTCTCTAAGTAAATAAACATTTAAAAAATAATAATGACCAATGGTTAATGAGCACTGAAGATGCCAAGACTAGAAAAATTAAGAAACCTGCCCCCCCCAATAAAGACCTATCTTTTCTCAGCTTCTATATTCATAAAGATGACAGATGGAAACATGAAATAACACGATGCTGTCCCCTGGGGAGCGGGCAGTGGGAACTGAGTAGTTGGCTGACAGGATGGATGACAAATATTTTGTTTCATTACATACTTTTTTGTATTTTGGTATTTGAGCCATGTAAATTGAGAGAAACAGAGAGGTAAGGTATACACATGCGCATTAAAGTCACACAGCTCATAGGAGCAGAGCTTTGACAAGCCTTGACAAACGTCTAGGCTTGACAGTGAACACGCTTATCAAGGAATCTTCGTGTGGCAATTTCATTTTCTCTGTATGCTTGATAATAGGGTGAAAAACAAGTAGATCTCTTTAACAGCTACATTTCTTTTTGTAAATTAAGAACGGGGCACCTGGGTGGCTCAGTTGGTTAAGTCTGACTCTTGGTTTCGGCTCACCATGATCTCATGGTTTCATGAGTTCGAGCCCCACGTCGGGCTCTGCACTGGCAGCACAGAGCCTGCTTGGGATTCTCTGCCTCCCTCTCTCTCTGCCTCTCCCCCACTTGCACTGCCTCTGTGTCTCTCAAAATAAATTAATAAACTTTAAAAAAATAAATAAATGCATTAAACCAAAGAATTTACCCTTCTGCTTTATATTCCAGTCTGCTGATTACTTTAGGCCAGTCTCCCTCACATCTGGCACCACAGAACAGCTGAGAGACTGATGCAGAGGTGAAGCCTCCACTCCCTTCAGCGGGATGACACCAGGCTGAGGTGCCCTGTGGGGCCCTGACTGGCTGCCTTTCTCTGGCAATGCCCTTGTTATCTCCTTGTGCACTTATGAAATAACAAATTTCCTCTTAAATGAAAATATTAAAATACAGAGCAGGGAAAGTGCTTCATTCAGTAGCTTGACTCTACCCTTTCCATCTTCGGGAGAGTGACTCATGGCATAACAACAGGCCTCCATTGAGACCTGCAGCCTCAGATTAGTGTCATTTTGTCATGTGTTGCATGGAGTTCAGGATGGGCTTTGCTGCAAGTTTCTCCTGTGGATTCTTGGTTTAGAGTTAATGGGCCCCGGGAGAGGGGGTATCAAGTCATTTCGGATGCTCTCAATGCAAGGATACCAGATGCAGAAATGGCCCCAGCTAGGTTTAGGACTCTTGGTTTATTCTTTTTTATCTTCGTGCTCTCACTGACCCTGGGTGAGCTGCTTCCTGGCTCTCCTTCAGCTGTGAAACAGGGTTAATAAACCACTGACCCGCCTACCAGGACTGTCAGGAGAAAGGGCTGATAAAATTGGTGTTGCCAAAGCCTGGAAATGCCAGTGCATCACAAGGCTGCAAAGCCCCGGTTTCAACCATCTCCAGAAAAATGTAAGTCTGGGAGGTTCTTGAAAGGTTCAGAAAATGAGGGAAATGGCCTGCTGGGGCCTGCTCCTGGGAAGCCTTGGGAAACCTCTGGCCTCCTTCCTCTCTGTCTCCACGAGCCATGGCTTTGGAGGGAGCCCCCAGCAGCACCTCCTCCCGGGGGGAGGGGGGTGGTCGGGATAAGCATCTCCCAGTAAGAAACTTCCTCCCAGACCTCTCAGAGCTCTTTACATTTTTATTATTTTGCTTGAAAAGAGAAACCTCAGAGAAGCCAGGGTAACAGGCAACCAAATGCACAGAGCTAGGAGCATGTGTGCACGTCCACAAATAT